TTATCATGGAAAACCCGGAAGAGTCCGGGAATTTAGAAAAAATTGAATTGGTAGACACCCTGACCACTGTGAGTGTATTACGGTTATCAAGAAGTGCCTTTAGAGCACGGAGTTGTAGTTTCGTTTTCAAAGAGCACCATACTAGGCTGGAGTAGTTCCCGCCAGTGGCTAGGTAAATACAGCTGGCCACGTGACCACACAAAACTGTGACGTGGGCACCACACCGACCAGCCAACACAAACTCGTGACCTAGGTTTGTTTATGCTGACACCGCATAGTGAGATCTGTTTTGAGGTGCTCCACATCTCGCTCAGTCATGGTGCATACACTTTAAAATTGATTTTAAATATGTTCTGGGCTATATTCGCACTTGGTATTTTGTAGATGCTGTGTATGTCTCCACATAAAGCTATCTCACTCATGACCTTGCCTTAGAAATTTTGGGCCAGTGCTCTTTTAAGTTGAGTGATTGTAGAGGCGCATGGGGAAAAGCTTGATGGGTTAAGTTTGTCTAACTGCAAGCAAGAATCGTTTTAAAGCTCCGTGGCTGACTGAGCAAGTCAGTTATTGAGTGTGGACAGACCTTTGCCCTGCGATGTCTCTAACTGCAAGCAAGAATCGTTTTAAAGCTCCGTGGCTGACTGAGCAAGTCAGTTATTGAGTGTGGACAGACCTTTGCCCTGCGATGTCTGTTTAGGCTGCTTGAGAACTAAGTTGAAAAGCCTTTGTACTGCTGTCACACAAAGGCACATCAAATATTCTTCTTCATCATCTTCTTTGTTTTTTTTTTCTTCAGTTTGCTGTAGTACAGTTCTACAATTCATGTACAGCCTCACTTCTCACTTATCAACAGTTTGGCATGGTGTCTTGTGTTTCAAAGGTCATTGCTCCTGTTGAGGACACTAAGTGGTGTACACATTTTTTTTAGCTACTGTGTGAAGTGTAAGGTAGAGCGTGCTTGTGTATGTTGTATGCGCAGAGGCGGTGTCGTATCCAATGAAGCGATAACTGAGGGGGATTATTGCTAGTTGAAAACTCTTGTTGTATGGCTACCTCTTCAAGGCTCTGTTCACTGAAAATCATGTCTACATGCAGTTTGAAGTGTCAGAAGCCCATTCTTTCTTGCAAAAGTTTTATTTTTATATATGTTTTTGTATGCCAATTGTAACGCGATGCCTAAATGCTCTTGTAGCATGCAGTTGTAATACAGCAATGCACGTGCTTGGTTCAAAGCAGTCAATGCATATTTTGGTTACGAAATCAACATAGTGCTGCGACGAACTAGTGTGCATAGAAACTTAAGCTTAACGCATCACACACGAGAAGCGATGTGGAGCCATGCTCGCGTATTCATTTTACGACACTGTTTAGACTGCCACCGTTGCAGTTGACTTGCAATAAGTGGTGGACAAATAATTTGCATGTTGCAAACTATGCTCTTGGATATGAATTATCTCTTTGCACCGCAAAGTGGCGCAGTGATGATGAGCCTTGAGTACCACTATGCATCATTCTCTCTCTGCTCCTAAACAACCAGCATTTGGTGGTCTTTTCTATATTTTACCCACGGTTCTTTAAGCAGTAATTTAAATGCAATAGTGTATTTGTGACACATTTGTTAATCCTTCTCAATTAGTTTCTTGGTATACACGTCAACTGTGTCGCAAGGAGAAGAATGTCTTTGCACATAACATTGGCTATTTCAAGCTTCTCTAAAATGCCTATGAAAAGTAAAGTTGTGAAGTGCTGATCGTGCCATTATTCATCATTTTTTGATGTAGTGAAGTGCTCTTTGCATATTGTGAGGTGATACTCGCACCTAGCTGCTGCACACTTTGTTGATGCGGAGGCTGATGATGAAAATAATCAGTTAAATTCGAGCGTTTTGTAATGGTTGGACAAGTTTATACCATCCACTTGTGGCATAGTTCACACACTGCAGCTCTTGGTGTGATTCTGCACTTCTGCCGTGCAATATTATACCCCAGTCCCACTGGCAAATATACTGTCATTTAAAGGGAGTACACTTATGCCCCTCAGCATGTCACTTAGATTGAGTGCTGCTACATGAGATGAGAAAGCGTACTTCGGAAATATTGATAATGGCTGTGCATAATTAAGTAGCACAACAGATAGGCAAGTTATCTGTTTTAAGTAGGCAAGTTATCTGTTTTAAGTCCTTTTACGCTTTTGGGTTGCTAAAATCTACATTAATTGTCCGTCGTGGCATGCCTGCCAAAGTTCAGGATGCGGGTTTTAATCATGGCTTTGGCCGATGCAGTTAGATGGGGCTAAATGCAGTAACAACCCTGATTTAGTTGTATGTTAATGAACAACAGGTGGTAAAAATTAGTATATAGTCTCCCACAGTGATTGTAGTGGGAGTTGTTTTGTGTTGCAGGGGTAGAAAAGCTGGGCCATCCTGTGCCGAACCGTCGTTGTTGCCCCAAATTTGTTTATCTGCACCACACGATCCGAATTTAACCGCAAGGTGTGACAGCCATCAAGCCCCGTGACCGAAAACGTGGCTGAAACATCGTGTTTTTGGTTTCTTCGAAGCTGCTATAGCTTCAGTTTTGTCAAGGCTGTGATTGCTCGAGGAGTAGCTGTGAACTTTGATTCTGAGGGCATTGTCCCGATCACTGGTGCGTGCACCAACTCGGCAGGCATCACCGCTAATGGCTTCAGGACCCTTCCACGAACAGCGTTATTAACGCAAAGAGACTGCCGATAGAGCAGCTCTCCCTGGTGTGGTCGTATTCTCTTTCACGAGCATTTTGTAGAGTTACAAGATATCAGATCCAAAAAAAGTTAGCTGCCAGTTTTAATTACTTCGTATAACATAACACTTGTTGCTGTTGCATTCGTTGCTTTGCCGTTGCATTCGTTGCTTTGCTGTTGCGGTGGAATTGTGATTTTTTTTTTTTTATAACACTATGGCAGCGTACAGAAAAGAAAGAAAAGGTGCTCGAAAGAAGCAGGGGTAGTGTCCAGCTTCCAGAACAAGTTAACTCAGGTGCACAGTTAAGACTGCTTATCAAGCGCGCATGCCCATTCTTGTTCATTTGACTGCTGGGCTTCGTTAAGTGGCACTTATCGACTCAGCATTTGACGCTTGTGCATTCAGGTTTAACAGACGGGCGGCTGCACGGCCGCCTGTTTGTTAAACCTGAGCGCACGAACGGCTGCGCATAGCTAAAAAAGTCGCAGCCTAATCACTAGAGTGAAGCAATGAATGCGATAGCAACAAACTCGGGATCCGATCTCTTGTAATTCTACAAAACACACGTGTAGGAGAGCATGATCATTTTAGGTCGAGCAACAGTTTTTGGATAGTCTCTTCGTGATGAGAGCGCAGCACATAGAAGCTAGTGTGCACGGACCACAGTCGCGCCATTAGAAGCAAAGTTTCGTACTTGCTGCTCTAACAACATCCCCCCACCCTCGTTCCACACTTTCCCCCACCCCTGCTCGCACCTTTTCATCTTGTTCGAAATGGTGGTGCATTTTCTTGCTTTAATGGCAGGCCTCCAGAGCGGGGTGATCTTATTGCGTGCCCCTCCGAGTGACTGTGTAGGGCCGGCTCGTTTGATCTCTGCTACAGCCATGTTTGTCGCCCCTGCTCAGGCACTTTCACTTGCGAGTAGAATATACGATGCGCGGGAGTATATTCAAATTATGGACTTCATACGGAACATGATGGCAACAGTGGCAACAAAAAACCATCGAGAGTGACTGCTGTCGAAATATAAAGCTCCTGCACATTTGTTTGGAAAATGCAGCATTGGTGAATGTTGCTTTTCACATGCTGTGTTATGGGGCTTCTGCTTTGAAGGTTCTTTGACTGCAAATGAGTTCTGCAGAAAGAAGCAAGGTGACGGAAGGTTCAAGAAAAAGAAAGAAAACAACCACCCGTTTGTCGTGCGAAGCCACAAGGAAATTCATATGAATTTTTCTGAAAGAAAAACCTCTTAGTTGCCGAAAAAGTTATCCATTTCTACCCCGGACACGGATGAGTTTTTCGGCAATTAAAGGCTTTTCTTTCTGAGAAATCCATATGGATTTCCTTGTGGCTTCGCACTACAAATGGGGGGTTGTCTTCTTTTCCTTTCTTCGTTCTGCCTGACTACTCCAAACTTGCCCAAAAAGACTTTTCCGGTTGCTCGAAGCCTGCTGCAAAACGTCTTTCTGGATGCTCCAAGCCGGCTACAACACTTTTGCCTGCTCCCAGGACTGCTCCCGAACACATGTACCCTGTTCCAGTCTTGAACATACTGTATGGCACTTGTGGCAAGGTTATGAACATTTGTGTGTTACCTGTCTTAACGGCTAAAAGCTTGCTTCATTTGTGTTAGTTCATTCTGGGTACGTTTAACCTTGGCAACAGCAACTGCTGGATGTAGAGCCTAATGAAAAATAGAAAAGGGGCCATGGGAATCTCCATCATCTGGCTGAGACTTTATTTTTTCTAATGGGCTGTACTCGTATAGCCTTGAAAGATAACAGGGGTGATATGTTGGTTAAACTGGAAAGCTCTCATGCCTCTTGTCAGCTAGTCTCCATATTTGATGGAGAAGTAACATCGGCAAGAATAGCATTCATTTGATAGTTATAACAAATAAGTGCCTCCTACAATACTTTGGGAATGACACTCCAGGCTTTTGAGTGGCTTGGTAGGTGACATCTACAAAGTAGTGTAAGGATAAGGGATTGCTGATCTTGATTGCATATGTCTTGCATTTCGTGCTTGCTGTGCTTGCTTGGATGGAACGGCATGCAAACAGAACATCTTGACCAACACTCATTCATATGAATGCCTTCTGTGCTACCATCTGGGCATAGGCCCGTTGTTTAGGCATTGGTGAATTTCACGCAATTTTCATAGTGACCCCAAGTGTGCAGTGTGATGCAGTATCGCAGTTGCTCTGTACAGTACTATTCCAGGAAAACTGTCTGTGCTGCACTATGTCCCATCTCTGCTTCCTTCCTCCACACTCCAGGCGGACCTGACTTGAAGAGCTTTGAGGTGTGCCTGTGCATCGAGGAGTTTGCGCACGCCTGCTCGGGAATCTGTCTCGCTTTGACAGGTTCAGAGCTTGGGGTAGGCTGCCTTTATTCCACTACCTCTGAAGGCTCACTCAGGGAAGGGACAGAAACGCAACACTTAAAGGGCCCCTAAACCACTTACGATATTTTTTCAAACATTTCAAGTAAAGACACGCATTGTGTGCAGAATGCCGTCGTGATCAACGATTCTACACATGGTAGCGCTACGAGTCGCTGGCACACGACAAATTTCAAGAAACATTTCATTCTCCTAGTCAAACCTTTGGGGCCTCTGTGTGATGTTAAGTTTATTCTCTAGCGCACAGCACATTGATGCTATGATTGGTTGAGCAAGAACCTACGACGTCCGGTTACTTTGCAAGCAGCTGTCCGCGTTGCTTGTTGTTCTTCGTCTTGTTGCCCGCGTACGTGCGTGGGCTTGCGGATTGGCTGCTGCTTCCCGTAACACAGTGTCCATACCGGCACAATTCGTATAATCTCGGGCCGGCGGCAGCTATTCGCCAACAAGCACGTAGTTGACGAAGAGATGGAGACGCGGCAATCGGAAGTAAGTGGTGTTTTGAGCAGCGCATTGGTGATGGCGTATGCCGCACGATATTGGGAGGGGTGCTCGGTGAGAAGGCATAGCGGCTTTGGAAGAAAGTACCTATGGAGGGTAACAAAAGGAAGAGCGAAAGGAGTGATCGCCACGTTTTGATAATCAAACTCATAACTCCGATATTACGGAACTGGTTCGAAAAATTATGACGGCTCCGTGGCCATTGTATACTTGTGCAAAACTTTTGCACCACAGCTAAATTTCGACCTCTGGGTGGTTTAGGGGCCCTTTAAATGAATGAATGGCGGTTTAAAATGCGACAATTTTAATGGTGTTGCCTTTCATAAAATACGTGTATTTGCTTTGTAGAACCTGATATGATGCTTTTTATGTGGGGAAGAAAATCTTTTTTTCATTATGGCAACTTACACATTGAACTTGCGATTCATGTCAGTGATCAGTTGCGGTGAGTTTTTGCAAATGCAAGAAAGATTCTGCTTGTTTGGGAAAGCGAGATTTGAGAGTATGTTTTTCTGTAATGCTTCATTAGAAAGGGGGCCGAGTTATCTAGTGGAAAATTTTCACAAAACTGCATGGGTGTTTGATGCGCTTTGCATTTTGCTTGGCACAGGTATAGGAAACCATGAATTAATAAGTGAATGAAAGTAGTTGTAAAATGCTTAGGCTTCCTACTTCAGCCTAACGGGGAACATGCATCTGTGAAACATCATGCAATAGTGTGTCTGCCTTTACGATGAACTGCTTATGCAAATCTATGCAGTTATAAATGCAAATATAGTTGCACTATATTTGCATTTTAGCTAAGTTTGAAGTAAAAAAAAAACGTTTTAACTCAAGTCAGCTACATTTTCTTTGTGTCAGAGACTGAATTTTAAATTTTAGCCCTGCAAACACGGTAAGTTACAAAAAATCCTTATTTCGGGCATAATAGCTCTTTATCTTTTTGCTGAGCTTGCTTTGGGCTGGGTGGGCAGCACAGCTGTCGCATTGCTCATGAGCACAAGGTTCGTGACACAAGAGGAACGTTTCTTGCATAAATGACAAGGCTTGACCATTGCTGCATGCTCACTGTATTGGTTGTGAATGTGGTGCTGTCTCTTTAACTCGCAAGACAGGAACAACTATTTTCAGGATCGATGCATTGCAAGGACTTATTTCGTCACCTTTTCTTGAACACAAGGGATCTTCTTTGAAAGCTGCAAGGGGAACTATTCGACTGAAAAGAGTGCCACTGCAGCAGATGCTTGAGGTTAAAATGGTCGCAGAGGCATGTATTGGTTTAACTGTGCAGCTGTATTGTATTTTAAGCGCTATTCAGTTGGTGGTGACGCAGTTCTAGTTCTTTTCACGTGTTGCATTGTAAAACTTTTTGGTTTTGATCACTATGGCATAACTGTAGCCCCTTGTTTTGTTGGCAAAGTCCTGAGAGAGTTGAATCCTACTGACTCTTGTTGCATTCTACTGACTCTTAGAAGCGAAATATAGACTCGGTTTCCAAATACCTTTACTGACCGAGAGGTGGTAAAAAAAAAAAGGTTAGATGAATTTTACAGCATTATAACTCAAGGGGAAATATAGCATCACAACTTTGGCACTCTTTGAGCTGATGTTTAGAGCAGACATACATGATCATTGAGTTTTGTGAAATTGATATATATGTTATTAATGTATCCTGCAAAAGTTTCGGGCAGATTATCAACATTCTATTCAAAAAGGTTGCATGCTAAGTGTTGGTTCTATCTTCTTCAGATGCTCTGACAGAACAGCTGTGCCAATTGTGAGAAATTGTGGCAAGCGATGTCCGCTATACTAAGCTGTTCCAAAGCAGCAATTTCAGAACATTGCCCGATGCTCGCAATAAATATGAAAGCTACCTCGCTAGCAAAGCAGAAAGCAAGGCGGAAAACTTGCTATGGCTGTGAGGGAGCTGAATTGAGTGGTCACAGCTGCAGGCGTTTGCTGTTTTCGTTGTCACAATTCTTTCTTGTTCAAATCCTAATCAATGGAAAATTCCAAGCAAAAAAAAAAAAAAGCTGAAATGTAGAAAAGAGAACAGGGAGACACTATATTTTGTTTATTCTCCCATTTCTTTTTTTTTTTTTTGCTGCTTGAAACTCTAAAGCTCTAAATAATATGCATAGGTGAGCACTTGTCAGACGTTTGCTGCTTCTAATGTTCTGCTTCTGTGCACTCTAACTTATTATGCCTTTGGTGCGATTTTGCATTCTTGTGTGCTACTGCAGTGTGTAGATCAGTTAAGCAGAGGGGAGAAATATACATGTTGACAGCCGAGGATTGGAGAGCAGATTAAAGTTTATGTATTATATAAAAGCCTGCCTCTCGGAGTTTGGTGAGAAAAGCTCTGTTCGGGGCATTGCCTCACTACAAAGGGAAGTTGACAAAAATTGGAAATGGAAGAACTAGTCCGAGGAAGGGAGAGAACTTTCCAACTTTACATAAAATGCTGGCCCTTCATGGTAGTTGCAGTGGACACTTGACTCTTAGGGGGAAACTCGAAGGAGCAAAGTGGTTCACTGTGGAAACAAAAAGCTATTTTAGATAATGTTGTCAATGACGCATCGTGGAAAAATGAAGACTAGCCACAGCTGGCCACTATTGGGAATCGTTCTTGTGAACTGCAGGATTAGAAGAGGGGTTTTTGTGGTTCTAGGTAAAATAGCTGTCACACAAACACACTGGTACGCTGGGTACAGTATACATATAACTAACCTCAGGACAGGTTCACTTTAACTGTACATGTCAGATTTTGTCATCTTTTTTTTTTTTTTGCTTACTCGAGGAAATGCGTAGTGGAAAACATTCTATAGAAATTAAACTAGGAATATTTATTTAGAGTGAATTTTTCAAGGTTGTTGAGGAATCGCAGATAGTAATGAATGACAACTTGATAAGAAGCAAAAGCACGTATAGTAGCCGACAGCTGCTTAATATAGGTAATTACATAGTGCAGACTTCTATATAAGCACAGTAATTCCAGTCTGTAACAGTGACATGTGAAAATGAGTTAAAATATTTGTTAGTTCTTCAGGATGAAACAGTGACATTTTTCTCTGTGATAGTGGTATATATTATTAGAAATCATTATAAATTTTATTGATGTAGTATATGTTATAAAGTCGCATAAGTAAAATATGACTGCGTAAAGAAAAGTTGGGAATATCTCGCGCTTTCTTCATTCCTAAAATGCTAGCAGTGATGGAGCAGTTTGGGTTAGTGTGCAGATCCTGGACACACAATATGTACCTGAAGTTTACGGCGCAGGAAGTTCTTGTGAAAAAGCTATAGCCAGTTGTTCATACATTCGCTTAAGAAGAGAGGAATTATGAGAAGAAGGAAATGAGGGGGCTGTTGGAACACTTGAGCATTCCTTTGAAATCGTTGTTTGCCCGCTCGTGGTTGCGCACGAGCAGGTTGCGAGTTGATGAAACACCTCCCTAAAAGCACGGAAAAGCATAAAGTGCTGTAATAACATTGTGTAACTAGGTCATTTTAAGCTAGTAATTGGCAAAGCTATAGCAGCACCTCTGGAACAGTCTTAGCTGACTCTGCGAGTTGAACAGTGTCGACAATAATGCCCCTTACCTGTGCACTCGGTTTGTGTGCTAGCGAAAACCAGACAAAGTAAGGATTTTCAGTTTGCTGAGACACTCAATGTAATGCAGCCAGCATGGCTTCAATTGGCTGTCCATATGAATTCTAGCTCGGGGAGCAGCACAGCTATAGTTTTTTTCCAGTATCTTATCATCTGGTCAACTTGTTAGCCATGATGCTGTAAAGAATAGTGTTGGGCTGCTCAAGGTCTAAGTAACAAGAAATGAAGCTTTCAGTGTGGCATGCAAACCACCGATACACACCCAATTTGGCAGAATTTAAAAAAGAAGAAGTAAAATGCTGAAAGAAATAGTTCCTGGGGTGCATTTGCCTTGGAGTCTGAAATGCTACAAGAGAAAAAAAGATATTTAAGCTCTCTGAGAAAACTTGCTGACAGATTTCGTGTCGAGGACTCTAATAGCCAAGGTAAACATCTCCCGCAGGACATCATATTCTAGTGAATGATGCAGCGTACATCTTTTTCGAAAGATGGAAAGAGGTGCATGAAAGCTACATTCTAATTGGGTGGGGTTTGAAATGATTGAAATTTGGGTTAAACCTGAGTGGCACCTAGGCTTTTGAGGAAATCAAACATGCCTCTTGCTCGTGTTTTGTAAAGGGGTGCATGATCGGCATACCAGAGACTGTTTTTCTAGACCAGAAGAGTATAAAATGCTTTTTTTATTATTATGTTTATTCAGCAAACACCAGTCATTCTTTGCGGCAGTGAAGAGCAGAAGAAAAAGTATCTCGGTCGCCTCACGGAGGAACCCTTGCTTGCAGTAAGTGATTTTACCATCATTGTATGTTTTGTCTTTGATAATCAAGTCGCACAGTAGTGCAACTTTTTCTGTCAGTTTTAAGCGCTGGCCTCTTTCTGCTGAAGTCTTTTGAGGCTGTATTTAAAAGGACTTGTTTGTTAATTTTGGCTGTAGTTTGGGCTAATAACTCGGGTATCTGAGAGGAGCAAATAAACCTCAGCATAGCATTGTCAATGAAACTTTCAGTTGCTTTATCACATCAAAATTTTCTTAAATTGAAGTTTCACTTGTTATGTGCGATTGCCGAAACATGTTACATTAAAAAGTAAACTTTTACGTGAAATGTCATGTCTGTGACTTGATATCTGTGCCAGCGGAGTCCTCCACACAGCGACTCTATGTCTTACTCGAAGCTGGAAGAAAAATGCAGGTTAGGCACTTTGCTGCAATATGTACTAAGTAGAGCTGTTGTGCCCATTCTGCCATAGTCGCTTGTCAAAATTTCTGGTGTTGCCAATAGTGGTGCAATGCCAACGTTGCGTTCACTGATGTGAATTACTATCTGTTTACTCAACGCAATGAGCATGCAACATCAAAAGCTGTTGTACGGCACAAAAACAGAAGAGCTTCTGTCTAAAATCATCTGAAAGCAAGGCAGCAACCTGAATTACGACACATGAGTTCGCATTGGCATACCTACCAAATCTTCCAATTTTCTTGTAAAATGTACGAACTTTAACTGCGCTTACGATTTTATGAATCTTACCTGAAATTTTACGAAAAATATTTTATTTCCGAAAAGAAAAAACTAAAATTAGTAAAATAGTGTGGCTTCCACAATTGGCTACAGTGTATTGCCGTAGCTAGCCGCAGATGCCACAAAAATGGTATTGTGCTATATTCCGTCACAAGGAGGGAACAATATGTATTGGTGTTATCATCATATACCTGCCAAGTCTCCTGCACTGTACGGGAGACTCGGATTTCGATGGTTTCTTCAGTTTGTATGGTTGTCATGAAAATTTCCTGGAAATCTGAATTTGTGTGCGAAATGTGGTCGTATTGACAAAAATGCAGGTCAGTCCATTCCAGGCTTTTTCAGAGCCCACGACGTTTTATATAAACGAATTGGAGAAGCGTTCATCTAAACGCATAGTAGAGTTTCAGTGATGCGGAACCGCGGCTGATACAAATTCGTGAAATTCTCCAGCCATATTCATGTGTTCGTTGGGCCAATAGTACCGAAACCGGCGAACGAAGGTTGATCGAGAGCAGCGTGCTTAAACATTGGAAGTACATGTGCGATCAGCGCAAGCACTGTTTTCTACAGTGCGTGTGGTTGTCGTTGTCTCAACTGCTGTGGTCAAAACCGCTGTAGTTCGACGCGATCATGTATGCCAATGACGTTACTGACAGAACTCTGAAAGTGAGCATGCGGCCAACGCTCGACCAATCAAAGCAACGCTGCTTTTTCGAAAACTCTGTTGGACAAAACTGCAGCAGTTGTGATCATAGATAGCATAAAACGACTTAGTTTTGAAGGCGTGTAGATTGAAAACAAAGCTACTGTTTGCTGCAACCGTCGCAGCAATGCGATAGCGGTAAAGACTTAAAAAAGGCTAGAAGCGTTTTGGCATTGCAATGTGATAGCGGTGAAGACTTAAAATAGGCTAGAAGCGTTTTGGCATTCCTGTCCTAAGAATCTAGTAGCAAGCAAAGCCAAAGCTTTGACCTACGCTTGCGCGGCAGCCAGCTACGCCGTCCCATTTGTTCACGTGTGAAGACATACGCGAGTTGTGTTGACGAAAATTTATTTTTTGGCTATAGTTGTTTTGACGACGTGAAATTTCGGGAGCATTTGTGCTCCCCCTTCGAACTCTCACCTTAGTGGGAAACCTTACCTTCGTGTGTCCGGCCACTCCTAGCTATTATGAGACCGCAAGGCCAATGTTTGCGCTTGCGTTTGGCCCCCCCCCCCCCCCTCCCTCTGGTTTTTTGCGATTTTTGTTTTTTTTATTTTTTAGTGGCGAAAATGGGGGGAAATATTTCAGCGCGTCAATTTGGCTTATGGCAGCAAAAAATGATTATGCTTGTCACCAAAAGAAATCAATCACACCTAGAAATAGCATTGTAATAAACGATTTATTTCACCATAGAATGCATAGAAAAGTGAACAGTGTCATCGTTGTTTATTGTTACATCTGATAACAATGTTATACCATATTTATGCACCTGATTTGTGCTCTCGCATAATTTGTGTACGCTAATATTTAGCCATCGTTTTGGAAAAATAATATTTAATCGCATATTTCGCGCTCCCTGACTCGCCCGAGCCAGCTCGCCGGCACACGCATCTTCGGACCTTTCGGTGCCTTGCACGGGCGCTTCGCCGAGCAGGCGAATGCAATCAAATTGGTGGCGAGTGCGAAGCCCCTATTTCTGAGGACTTCCTCCGAACTAGGGTCCCTAGAACACAGTACCCACCGGAACTGCTCGAGCCTTTGCCCCCCTCCCCCTATCTCTACAATCTCAACCATGAGAACGCACGCTCGTGTGACGACACGGACAACTTTCTGCATAGGAGGCATGCGAGCGCTTGTCACGCCAACTGTTTCCTCGTTCCATCCGCAGTACATCGCACACTTAGTTGATTTCCGAAGTTTAAGGTTTTGCCATGGATCCATCGCGTTTTTACTGTTCTCTTGTGATGGCATATGGTAATTATATATATACGGCAAAATTCAAGCTCGCTGTTGTAAACTTGGCCGAAAAATACTGGAACCCTGCCGCCGCTAAGCACTTCAGCGTGAACTTCAACGTGTGACGGTCAGTGCGATCGGCACGGGAGAAAGCAGAGTGCATGCTTGCTAATACAAGTTTTCTGATGTTGAAGAAGAACTTTTCAATTATATGCGAACACTTAGGTCCTTTGGTATGGCCGTGTTGTGGGACCTAGTTTCTCCCAGCATTGTCAAGAAGAGCTTCAAGAAAATGAGGCACCCGTACACGCTCGACAGAACCGAGGACGATGCGCTTTCGGAAGGCAGTGACAGCAGCCACGATGATTCCCCAATCGGACTTCGCGATGAGTGATTTCCACTAGACCACGCTTGACTGGATCTTACTGGTTAAAATATGTGCAAAATCTTTCAAAATTAACAAGTACACTTCGTTTGTGCTCCAGTTTATTTATTTAATGTATAGACTGCGTGCATTAGGACTGTGACACAATATTCCGTAAGTGATCCCGAAATCCCCACGTAATTTGCGCACTCCATTTTCAGTGCTCTAAAGTGGCGAAAAAAAGTGCACAAATTATATGAGTAAATACAGTAAGTGGATGCACTTGTATTTAGGTTAAAAGCGTGGTGTTTCATTGGCATATATCTATAAAAAGTTAAATACCCAGTTTTCCTGACTATGAAGACCTCTTTTGTGGCCACCATGCTGCTAACATGGCAGAAGAAAGCTGAATTCGGTCCCAGTAGGCACTCTGCTGGTGAATCGCGATTTAATTTCTATTACAGCTTTTGTGCGCAGGTTATTTGCTTAATTAACTGTACTTATTAGAATCAGTTCACATATTTCTTGTTTCAGCACGCATGACTTATGTATATGTGAAAATCTTCATTGTAGAAGATGCAGGTACATAAATGTAAAGAAATAAATGCATGTTATACATGGGAGAATATGCTCATTGAAGCAGTTTTCACTAGATTAAAGGAGTTTGGCAGTTTGGCCAAATGGTTCATTAGTATGAACTGTCATTGATAAGGTACTTCAAAAAACGACAGAAAGGGGAAGATGGAAGTTTGCAAAGAAAAAAATGCTTAAACAGGTTGTATGCTTGAGCTGATGTTTCAACAAGTGGACTTGTCGAAACATCGGCTTGAGCCCACAACCCCTGTTTAGAAATTTTTCTCATCATTGATAAGGCAGGTAATTCTTTACTTTACTTAAACTGTGAGGCCAGACTGCTATCATGACATTTATGAAGACGAAGTCATGTCAAGAGAAGTGAATGTCTGCCTTTTATTTAAAGATAGGCCTTTTTCAGCCTGATTCGTCTGTTATGCTGGGCATTGTAAAAATTTGCAAGCTGCAACTTGGTGCTTCTTGCAAAGTTTTGCTTCATGTAATCATTGCACCCTGAAGTGTCTGTAACTTTTTTTAGAAAAAAGTGCGTTCATTACAAGGGTACATACACTTAATCTCAATTTGATTTCCCCTGCATGCTAAGTGTTTACAAATTCTGTATTCCTTGTTACGTTTGCTTGCCTTTTTTTTTTTACTTCGATATAGAGTGGATAGATGAGCTTGACTTTATATATTCTAATGCTCACAAACGCTCTGTGGGTGTTCTCTTAAGACTTAACTGGTGCTTTGCAGGCATACTGTGTGACTGAGCCCAGTGCCGGCTCCGATGTGGCCAGCATTAAGACGCGAGCCGAACGAAAGGGCGACAAGTGGGTCCTCAACGGCCAGAAGATGTGGATCACAAATGGAGGTGTTGCCAACTGGTAAGAAAAGGGAAGACCTTCATAATGTCTTGTAGTCCGGTACATGATCGCATCAGTGCTGTACTTTTACATGCAATTTCATAGATGTTACAAATGTTCGATACAGTCAATAACTTGACAATATGTCTGAGATTGGCTGGGATTTCCCCCATTTTTGTTGTGGGGAAGAAAAATAAAGGTTGTCATTTGAGTAGCCTAATAGTGGCTTGTTATTTGTAGTGTTTATACACGGTAAATCTGTACCTCTGCCATTGGATGGTTTTAAAATTGCTTCATTCTGCCGCGTACCATCCAAGCCAACCCAAATGGAAGGGAGTCGCTAGTCTGCACAGTGCTGTTGAAATACATCACCCCCCCCCCCCCCCCCCCAAAAAAAAAAGTGCAGAGTGTGCCAATCTGCCATTTTTGTGCTTGTAGAAGTGTCAGCCTAGTGTACTCCTGCAATTTTGACTTGTCACACCATTGGACTATGGCCACAAGTAACTGCTAGCACAGTCAAGTTGTGGATGCTGCACAAATTTCGGCCTTGCTAAAAGTGAAATTGAATGTTGGCTATGCATGCATAACAAACATTTTCTGGTCTCACGGGGATACAGGGGATGCTTGCCCGCAGTCTAGGTGAATTCAAGGCAGGTCTGGTTATGAGTGTTTCAAAACTCAATCTGAGCACTGCTCATACGTGTGTGAAAATTTTGTCATCATGGTTGAGGGTGTATGTCTCTATTATCAGTTATCAGTGGCTAACAATCAGTTGAAAAACTTAATTCTTTATTGATATTGAAATCATGCAAAGGGTACAGTAAAATTTGGATTTTATGAGACCAAACAAAAGTTGGCGATTATCAAAGCGCCATAACATTGAGGATGTCAAGGCAATGACAAACAAATGCTGACTACATCACCAAACCTTTATTTCAGATGCATCCACTAATCTTGTTCTCTTGCATAAAAGCAATATGAAAGATGAAACTCTCATCGCCTCACAACTTGACAACACTGCCACCCGAAGGTCCTAACATATTTTTTTTTTTTTTTGTTTTTCACACACCTCTCCTCCTTTTTTACATGCGCACAATTTTTTTTGTTGTTAGTGGCTGAGCTTTTCATCTGTCTACGCTGGTATAACTAGAAAGTTTGGTAGTTTGTCAACTGCAGTAGAGTCACTTTTTGTCCTTGAGCCTCTTCTGCCATCTTTGTAACATTGTGGCTCATTGCATCGGGTCAAAATGAAGCTATTGAGGACCGAATTCACTTTGTATCAAACTGTGGTCAAGAGCGATACTGCCCATGCATTTTGGAAACTGCGTGCATAACCTTCGTGTACCATTTCGAACCCAAGCTATGTTTTGCCAGAACACGTGTGCATGAAACCCAGGTCACTAATATAATACAATGAATGGCGACCATCCTCAATTCATACGACCAATAAAATGTGACACGCAGTGGTAAATTCAAATACACTAAAAGCTCGTTAACCCGGATCTCACGGAACCGGTGAAAATGTCCGAGTTAAGGGGAGAAGCGGGTCTTTGAGACCAAAAATCGCTAAAAAATACAATTTTTTGAAAATGCTATATTTGGATTCTCCCACTATCGCTGCATAATCTCGCCAATTTTCACGCATCCTAGATTGGTAATTTAGCCATAAGAGTAGTTTATGCGACGTTAGTGAGCTGAATTTTGGCAATGGACGCCTGAAAAATGGACTTTTTCAGCACCGCGGTGTTGCCGTTCTATGCTTGCTACAGCAGCCGTCTTGGTCACATTCGAAAGAGCCGCCCTTTTTCTTTCATATCCCGCCGCGCTTGTTTTCGTCCACTCAGTATGCATGCCGTGAATCCGCGTAAAAAAAAAGCCCTGTCGTGAGAGCCTATTGGTGCTCGGTGCAGTGAGCACACGTTACTAAATCGCGCCTTCCGATTTGCCGGGCCTCCCGAGCTGTCTGCTGCGTGCGGCAGCGGAGCGCACGCGAAGCGGCGAGTGTATGTCTTTTTGTACTCGTCGGCTTCCTGAACGCGCGTGAGCTAGCGAGAAATTAGAGCAAGCATCTCTGTATAGTCTCTACGTTCGACGGTATACTGGTACGGCACTGAACGAGCTCGACGAAGCCGCCGAGACATTGCGGTAGGCCTACACTATCGGCCGCGTTTTCCCGAGCTGTCTGCTGTGTGCGGCAGTAGAGCGCACGTGAAGCGGCGAGTGTATCTCGCTCACATGTCGTTGTTCTCGTCGGCTTCCTGAACCAGCGCGAGCTAGCGAGAAATTGGAGCAAGCGTTTCTCAAGTCTGCACATTCAGGCACGCCGCCGAACCAGCCCGATGAAGCGCGCTGCAGCCACCTGGCCAGTGCGTTAGGCCTACGCTCTTGGCCACGTTCTGAACCTGGCTTGAACCTTTCATCATGCCGAAGCCGTATCACAAGTTCCGCACCACTCACAAGTTCTGCACCACTCACAAGTTTGGAAAAAAGCGCAAGAACTTAACGGCAAAAAGAGATAATAGCACAGGTATATCTGACGTGCACCTAGTACAGGACGGCGCGGCGTCGAAACAGGATCTGTCGGATGAAACGTCGACATCTCCGCCTGTGTGCCCAGCCGCCTCGAGCAACGTCGGCGATAAGCAGCGCATAAAGAAAGACACAACCTTTTCGACGAGCGCCGATCATGTGCAACAGCAGAAAGTGAGTGCTGATAAGATCAGCAGCTTATCGGCAACTTTGGCGAGCGAGTGCAAGCTGCGAACGCTCGCGACAGCGCTCGAGGACTCGGACCCATCGGCGGCTACCTATGGGATCGTCGACTTATCTGTGATAAACAAGCTTCTTGAAAGAACAGCTAAATGCCGGACATGCAGTAGGACCATTTCTATTGAAAAAGGTGAGCGTGAATATGGACTTACGATGAAGCTGATTTCAGAGTGCCGCAACCGTGGACTTGTTGACAGTGAGTGGAGCTCTGGGAGGGTAACCAGTCAGGCTAAATGCGCTGCATTTGAAGTCAATATCCGTGCATCTCGTGCCGTGCAAAGCACCGGGAATGGCCAGGCAGCCCTAAACGACATCTGCTCTGTAATGGGAATTACTCACAGGGGACTTCACCACAAAAGCTATCAGAGCCATTTGAAAAATAAACTGAATCCTGCGGCAACAAGAGCTGCAGACAAGGTCCTCTCTGATTGCACCATGTCAGTGAAAACATTATACCAAGATCTGTGCTTTGACAACACAGGTAATGTGGCCATCTATTATGATGGCACATGGATGCCTATCCATGGATGCACATGGCTGCCTATGTTTTAGACTATGTTGTGCTGTCAAATTTTTGTGCCAGCTGCAAGTGCGCACCCAAATTACTTGGTTTGGGAGTCATCGCACATCTGCCAGAAAAATACACAGTGCAAATCAGGGCACGTGGAAGTGGAGGCAGCAGTCACTCTCTTTGAGCGCTCAATTTCCCGTCACGGCTTGCGGTACACAGAGATGCTGTGTGATGGGGACAGTAGATTATTTCGTGCTGTTGAAGACTCGACAGTTTTTGGTTTCATACAGGTTCAAAAAGAGGACTGTATAAACCATGTCCAAAAACGAATGGGTACTGCACTACGCAATCTTGTTGAAAAGCATAAAGGTTCTGGTGAAACACTAAGTGGAAGAGGCTGCTTGACAGGTGATGTCATAGAGTAATTGTCGAGATACTGTGGTTGGGCTCTGAAGTCCAATGTTGGTGACGTAGATGCAATGCACCGGGCAGCCATGGCCACATATGTATTATCATGTGACATCGACTGATGAAAGGTCTAACCACACCTTGTGCCCAAGTGGCAGTGACTCATGGTGCAAACAGAATGCTGCTGCTGCAAGGGGAGAACCGCTGCCAAGACACACCTACAACTTCCCACAGAATGTCCGTGATACACTATTTCCAGTCTATGAGCGACTTTGTGACAAGGAGCTGCTGAAACGCTGCCAAAGAGGCAAGACACAAAATGCAAACGAGGCACTCCATTCTGTCATGGTCTGTAATGCCTAAAGAGAAGCATGCTTCACTCGTAGCTGTTGAGACGGCAGTTGCTGAGGCCGTGATGCGCTTCAATTCAGGAATGAAAGAAGCCTTCACACGTATCCTCAAACAACTTCAGCTAGAGCAAAACTCCATGAGCGAGCGACGAGCAGAAGAGAAGGATTCTCGTCGGATCATGAGTGCCGAGCGAAAGCGTTCAGCATCTTTCAAGTTCGTGCAACAAGCAAAGCGGCGGCAACGACAAAAGTGTGACAAATACTACTGCCCTGGTGCTTTCTGAGGCATTTATATGCAAAGAGAAATATTTTTGTTTTTGTAGAATTTCTTGAATATACAGAGCTTTGTTTTTTGCCATTTTCTTAGTTTCAGTTTTTTGGCCACCTTTCATTCTTCTGACAAGCGCTTCTCAGCTTTGGTACACTGAAATTCGATAATTCTTGTCTTTCTGAGAAGCTGGAAGCTTAGTGAGTGCTGGAAAGTGCCATATGCAACTATAGGACTCCATAAATTTTTAGAAAAAATAAAATACAAAAATTATTGTTCTTTGATAATGGAAGGATGAACTTCTAAACTTCATAACATTTGTTGTAGGAAAGCTAGAGCCATGAAACTTGCTTTTTGCACTCTTTGCTAACTGTAGAATGCAATGACATTTAATTCAGCAAGATCTGTACACCCAATTTACTGAAAAGGTGATCAAGAGAACTTTTACTTAATTACTAATTAAAAACAAAATAGTAAGATGTACATAAAAACTGAGTTCATATTTAACATCTGCACATGTAAATACACCATCTCATAAGGTTTCATCACCCGAGCTTAAATAATAAAATGCCTGATGGCTAAGTGCCTCATCCCCCCTTAACGGAACTCCGGATTATAGAATGAATCATCAAAACAAAAGGAAAATGTACTTGGCACAGACAAAGTTTTACTTCATGAAAAACTGCTTCAACTTTGTCTGTCTCGTCATCGGAAC